TTCCTGGACTTCCCAACCTACAGAATGGGGAATGATGAATGTTTGTTGTTTAAAAATTACCCAATCTAGGATATTTTGTTATACTAGTTTTTGAGTACTTTTTAGCTAATCAGGAAGAAAGGCTTGCTAAGTAAAAGACTTTGTAAAACAAAATTTCCAAAATATTTTGAGGATTCAAATATTTATTTAATGGTCCCCTACAATGTGTCAGAGAGGCTGGAGATTTATTAAGAGGAATAAGACAGAACACCTACCTTCTAACCCACTATCCTAACAGCAGACTGTTATAAAATAATGTTTGAAGCTCCTGACAGACAAATGCACAACATATTTCAGAAGAACTGGGGAGTCAACTTGGCCTGAACAGAAAATTCAGCCTGGAACAATACATGGTTGGGCAATTCCTTTATATTCATTATTTGGGGACTTGACTGGTAATGTTCATCTCAAGATGCAAATATGCCTCTCTTTTCTCACAAACACAGATGAGAACCTGGTTTTCTGGCAAGATTTTCAACTCCTTCTATATGTAGTTGTATGAAAATACATCAACTTGTTTTCATTGTTCTATGAGTCTCAAGGAAGGGTCTCTTAATTTTTCATACAATGGCTAACTTCATGTATCATTTTATATTTGGGTTGAGAGAAAAAGAACCAGGCTCACGTTGGAAGGCCAACTCAAGAAAAACATCAGGGCCAGGCACGGTGGTTCACGCCTGTAATCCCAGCTGCTTAGGAGGCTGAGACAGGAGAATTGTGAGTTCAAAGCCAGCCTCAGCAAAAGGGAGGCACTAAGCAACTCAAAGTGAGACCCTGACTCTAAATAAAACAGAAAAAAGGGATGGGGATGTGGCTCAGTGGTTGAGTGTCCCTGAGTTCAATTCCTGGTACCCACTCCTCCTCCCCCTGCAAAAAAAAAAGAAAGAAAAATATCATAGGAGTGGCTTCCTTGGGTCCTCTTAGAAGCAGACTGGAGAGATAGAACCAGTCTGAATTAAAGAACTGAATGAATTAAAACTCGAAAGCTTGTCCTGTTGAGAGCAGTACCAGATGCCACTGCTCCTTAGAGAATGGCATTTTTCCTGGGAAAACCCAGTAAATTTGGAGTATGTCTACAAGAAGATGGGATAAGATAATGCCATTGTTCAGACATTCTTTCCCTAATCCATCCCCACCTTAACCCACTGCTGCTTGGCAATGCTACCAGATAAATGAGGTAACTGTGCACATGAAGGGACACTCAAGTGACTCTGCCTTGGTACCGAAATAGGCAAATGTCAAGGGCATTCCTTTACCATTGCCAAGTTGTTTGCATTCATAAGATGAAAGAGCCACAGGAACTTGACAGAACCAACTCTTCAAGATACATTTAAATAAGACAGATGTAAGTAGATGTGTCTGACTTTGAACCTCACTTCCATTTGCTGTATGTCACTTCCTTTTCTCTATTCAGAGGTAGCACCTGCCCATTTTTGCTCTAGATTGCTGTCTGATTCTAGAATTGCAGATGAAGCCTATTAAGATCTGCAAACCCAGATTTGTGGTGATTTTCCTAACTCACTCATAAAGACAAGAAATAGGTGAAGAAGGAAATCCCTTGGCCTGCTGGTATTTTCCAGACTCCATTTTTATAAAAATTAATTCCCTCATGGAAAAACGCACTGCTTCTTGATGCAACAAATTTGGTGCATTTAGTAAATCTATCAAACATGATTTTCACTACATTCTGGATCTCAGACATTACTGTGAGCCAGGCACAGTGGTGTGTGCCTGTACTACCAGCTACTTGAGAAGCAGAGACAGAAGGATCATTTGAGCCCAGGAGTTGAAGCCCAGCCTGGGCAACAGCATACCCCTCCCCACACCCCCAACTAAAAGGAAAGAAATTATAGTTATTTTTGGTAGGGATGATAATGCATGTCTATATTTAGTAAATGTCTTTTATCACTGTGATCTACTCAGTGAAATGAAATGATGCCTTGATTTCCTTTTAAAAAAATCCAGCAAAACAACAACAAATTGAGGAAGATAAGAAAATAAGACTTACCAGTTGTTCAACTGGGTGAAGAGTACATGGGGATTCATTATATTAAATTCTATTTATTTATTTATTGGTACTGGGGATTGAACTCAGAGGTGCTTAACTACTGAGGCACACCCATAACCATTTTTTATATTTTATTTAGAGACAGGGTCTCTCTGAGTTGCTTAAGGCCTTGCTAAATTACTGAGGCTGGCTTTTAGTTTGCAATCGTCCTGCCTCAGCCTCCTAAGCCACTGGGATTACAGGCGTGAACCACAGTGCCATGTTTTTTATGCATATTTTAGATATATTCATGATAAAAAGTTAAATGGGGGCTGGGGATGTGGCTCAAGTGGTAGCGTGCTCGCCTGGCATACGTGCAGCCCGGGTTCGATCCTCAGCACCACATACCAACAAAGATGTTGTGTCCGCTGAGAACTAAAGAATAAATATTAAAAAAAATTCTCTCTCTCTCTCTCTTTATTAAAAAAAATTTTTTTTTATATTTAAATATTTATTTTTTTTTTTTTAGTTTTCGGCGGACACAACATTTTTGTTTGTATGTGGTGCTGAGGATCGAACCCGGGCCACACGCATGCCAGGCGAGCGCGCTACCGCTTGAGCCACATCCCCAGCCCTCTCTCTCTCTCTTTAAAAAAAAAAAAGTTAAATGCGTTATTTAAAAAACAATTTTTAAAACCTATATCATGACAACACATTCTAGATGGCTCCCATATGAAATGAAGCAGGCTTTCTGCCTACCACTACATTATTTTGATTTAAAAATATAATCAATCAGTTGGAGGATCTACCATTAATTTAGTAATAGTAGTTTTTAAAGGAAAATTAAAACATGACATTAAAATACACTCTGATTATAAACCATATCACAATTTCAAAGTTGTTGAAAATGTATAAAATGTACCTCATTATTGAATAATCTGGTAATTTTTCTTTATCAATTGTTAATAGTGTTAAATTAAGTTTGACAGAAATTATATTGTTATATTGTCTGTATGTAAAAATATGTAACAAATCCCATCATTGTATACCTATAATATAATTCTGTTATATTACCATAAAGCACCAATAAAAAGAAGTGGGAGCCAAGGGTGGTGCAGAATACCTGTAATCCCAATGACTCAAGAGGCTGAGGCAGAAGGATTGTAAATTTGAGGCTAGCCTCAGCAATTTAGTGAGGCCCTATGCAATTTAGCAAGAACCTATCTCAAAATACAGAATAAAACAGGGGAGATGTGGCTCAGTGGTTAACTGCCTCTGGGTTCAATTCCTGGTACCAAAAAAAAAAAAAAAAAAAAGAAAGTTTGACAGGAGCTTCCTCTGAACATAATGAACTGTGACCTAACCTGATGTATAAGAAGACTGCAACTTACTCTTGTAACATGTGGCTTAGTCTCAATCAAGAGCAGCCAACTCTTCCAAGACACATTCAAATAAGACAGATGTAAGCAGATGTGTCTGACTTTGAACCTCACTTCCATATGCTGTATGTCACTTCCTTTTCTCTATTCATAGGTAGAACCTGTCCATTTTTGCTCTAGATTGCTGCCTGATTCTAGAATTGCAGATAAAGCCTATTAAGATCTGCAAACCCAGATTTGTGGTGGTTTTTCTCTTTTAACAATGGGAATTGTTGTTAAAAGGCCAAGTTTAAAAATAATGATGTGCAAGAAAGTGGGGGTCTTTAGTATTTGTTTTATTTATTTATCATTCATTTTATTTTATCATTTATTTTAACCACTAAAATGGAATTTGTGTTGATTACTTTAGTGACTGAAGGTTTGCCTCCTTGAAACCTAAAAAAAGTGCATGGTGACATATGCCTAAAATCCCAAAAGCTCAGGAGGCTCAGACGGGAGGATCACAAGTTCAAAGCCAGCCTCAGCAATTTAGAGAGGTCCTAAGCAACCTAGTGAGACCCTGTATTAAAATAAAAAAGGCTGGGATGTGCTCAGTGGTAAAGCACCCCTAAGTTCAATCCCCAGTACAAAAACGAAAAACAAACAAACAAACAAAATACATGTTAACAAGGTTTTAAAATGCAATAAGCATGGGTTTCTATTGGTCTATACATTATCCTCATTTTAATATGGTAGGAAAATAAAAGAACTCTACAGATTATAAATGCTCATATATCTATGGATCTTGAAACTAGTTAGAATTATTATTAATAGTAATTATCAGCATTTGGTACTGAAGATTTAACCATGGGGTACTTTATCACTGAGCCACATCCCCAGCCCTTTTTGCTTTTTATTTTGAGACAAGGTCTTGCTAAGTTTCTGAGGCTGGACTCAAACTTACAATCCTTCTGCTTCAGCCTCCAGAGCTGCTGGAATTACAGCAGTGTGCCACTATGTCTGGTTTAGCATTGCTTTCTTTCTTTCTTTTTTGGTACCAGGTATTGAATTCAGAGGCACTCAACCACTGAGCCCCATCCCCAGCCCTATTTTGTATTTTATTTAGACACAGGGTCTCACTGAATTGCTTAGCGCCTCACCTTTGCTAAGGTTGGCTTTGAACTCTAGTTGCCTTCCTGACTTAGCCTCTTGAGCCTCTGGGATTACAGATGTGCGTCATCATGCCTGGCTTAGAATTATTTTTAATCCCCTAAGAATCAGTAGCATTTCTAGATCCTCTTGAGGAAGGAAGACCAGGGTAGAGACTGAGCTACCATGTTGAGCTTGGTACTCTTCTGAGAAGACAAGAAAAGTCATAGATCTAGAGCTAGAAAGAGTGATGTCTGCCCAGAGGTTTCTCTTTCTTGCCCAGCACAGAAGCTTCTGGACTCTGGGTTGCAACTGCCTAGCTCTTCCACCTGTTCTGGTTTCCTATGTGAAATGGCCAAGATGCAGCAGGTGAAACTGGCAGGAAAGAAAACAGCCAAGCCCAGGGCGTGACTGACCCCTGATCCTCCCCCTGCCCCCAGGGTCCAGATGCGCGCAGCGTCACTTACTGTCTTCCGGGAGGTTGTTTTCCCGCTCTTCTCTCTCCATCTGTTGGCACCACCCTTCCATGCGGTCCCGCTCTGCTTGGAGAAGCTTCAGAAACCAGTGGCCGTCCCGGTGGCACACTGACCTTTGCACGGCCTCCAGGGGGTCTTCGGTGATGGAGTCAATCCAGGGGTCCGGAGGAGGCAGAATCGAGGGGTCAAAATCCGTGTCAAAGTCGTCGTCGGCTGCGCAGGCGTGGTAGTGGTTTCCTGAGCCCTGAATGCTGACGGTGGAGGTGCTGGCATCCCGGGAGAACTGCCGGGCCATGGGGCCGGGACACGAATTGTCCTCTATAGATTCCATAGAATTTTCCAGATTATCATGGAAGTCCAGGTCCGCCTGCACCGCCGTTGTCACGCTGTTGGATCGAGTGAACCTGCGGAAACTTTGGAAAATAGAGAGGAGAGACTGAGTTCCAGGACGTTTCTTGAAGCCAAACTACAGTTTGCTTTTCTTGGATGTGTGAGGACCCTCCATGCAAACCTGCTGATCGCCCTCGACCTAAAGGAATGAACGCAAATCTCCCACCCTTGTTAGATATGAGAGCCTGTCTAAAGCGATTTCACAAGTGGAAAGTCAGCACACATCCTGTACTCAACTCCTCTCCAAGTCTGGGATGGCTTAAATCCTGAAAACCAGGCTGGTGGTGGGCAAGGAAATAATTCAATTATATCTCAGTCTGTGTGATTTGCTTAGAAAAGGTGAGGTGGGGTAGGGTGGGCACAGTCTAGTCAATTCCAACATTGTCATGAATCCTGCATTTTTCTAGGGTCAACTCTTACTAAGTAAGACTTAAAAAAAAAGACTTCCTGAAAGCAAGCTGAAGTTTCTTTAGGTTCCCCTTCAAATGAAAACCTCTATTCTTCATAAGAATCCACTGGCTTTTACTCACAAGGGTCATCATTATAATGTGGTTCAAAAAGCCTTTGGGGAGAAAGCCAGCTTACAGTTCTAGAGTTCTCCATGACTGCCCTTCCCTGTCCCTTTAATTTTTCAGCTTTTCTTCCCAGGTGATAAAAGACAACAAAACGGGCTGGGGATGTGGCTCAAGCGGTAGCACGCTCGCCTGGCATGCGTGCGGCCCGGGTTCGATCCTCAGCACCACATACAAACAAAGATGTGGTGCCTGCCGAAAACTAAAAAATAAATAAATAAATATTAAAAAATTCTCTCTCTCTCTCTT